ATTTGAACCGCGCCAGAGGTCTGTATTAAAAAATCTGGTGAGTTTATCACATGCAGATGACCTCAAACAGAAACACTGATGGTTCCTGACTTCACAGGAGTGCTTCTCTTTGGGGTTGTTCTGGTTGCTAGCTTTTCATCAATAATACAGTAGCTGCATGAGTTTTGTCTGCATTACAAGTCCAAAATACAGTATTAACTTTTTATTAGAATTGGAGAGGTGCATAAACACCTTACAACAGGAACTGAAGCTGTTCACCCTAATTTCTTTAGGGGATTTTAAACATTTGATAATGTCAATAGAAACATCAAAGCAATTTTGTTCTTGTTTTTAGTATTTCACCCTGTTTTATAGCACCTTGATTTATTGTTTTTTTTAAACACTACTTTTATTTTAACTGCATTTTACTGTAGTTGATTGTTGTACTTTATATGTTCTGTCTGGAACAGGTCTCTCTTATAAATGAGTCCTCGTCACTCAATGAGACTAACCTGTAACAATATAGGTTGAATGAAAAAAAAATTGGAGGACTCAGACCAACGGCAAAAAGCTCAGATGAAGAAAGTCATTAATGACAACTCAAACAGAACACAAAATAAAGTGAAGTATATTAGGTAATTTGATATTTTCTAGCTTGATTGAGATCTGAAGATCTGAAGCTCTCGACCTTGACCTCTCTAAGTGGCTTTAAGAATCTGTTGGACTCCTGGCAAGGGCCAATGCAGACATGTTCCTGTTTTTAGTTTTCTACATTTGCCTTGTAATCTAGCTGTTTTTGCTACTTTTTTGCCATATTTTACAATTGTCTATTGTTGTCATTATTCTTTGTTGAAATCAGGTCTCTCTTGTAAATGAGTCCTCGAGGCTCAATGGGATTAATCTGTCTAAATAAAGGTTGAATGAATGATTGTTCCTACACTTGTGAATATACACATCAGAGCATTTTGCTCCGTTTTTGTCTCAAATGTGAGAAGGCCTGGCGTTTCAAGTTGCAGTGTGTACATGCCATAATCGTGACAACCACAAGATACAAGCAACATAAAACTAACGGTAAACACAAATTAAAACTTTTACAAACTCATCAAATTTACAATTTCAGGCTATAGTAAGAAAAGTATGGGAATAAATAGACTATTTCAACAACATCAAATACAAAATTTAAAAAGCAAGGAGAAATATCCAAAGAATGATCTGAAACAATGTGAATAAATGACTTCACAGGTGAATTAATAAAGTAAGCACCTTTGTAAAGGCCTGAACCTGAGCATGACTGACAGCATGTGCAGGTGTGGCTGCAGATCTAAAGTGAACGGCGCCTGGGTCACCATTGTACTCGTTGGGTCTTTGATTTTGCAGCGTTGGGCCAAAACCCTCAGTGGGGAGTCCAGAATGGGCCTCAGGCTACGGTTTGTATTGACTCAGGAGGGCTGACAGCGCAAGGCAAAATATGTGAGAGGGGGGCTTTCCTTTTCCAAAGATCATCTTTGTGAAGCTTCATCCCATCCTGACTTGGACAGTAAAGAATGAAACAGATTTTACCAAAGCTTTAGTCAGATGTGTCTGTTACTTTCATTCTTGCCTAATTTTTATTCTGCATTGTATTTGCTGAGAGAATAAATTCAGCACACACTCCACAAGACCCTAGATGTTTTTGTCTAGTCTGATTATGAAAAAGTTTTGATTTTAATGCAAAAACACACTTTTTACAAGGGTATAAAGCTCTGTTAGTACTTGAATTGTTTAAAGACATGAACCATGTGTATATATGTGTGATTTAATGTAAAAAAACAAAAAAAACAAACAGAACTAAACAAATCTTTAGTTTCATTGGAGACATTTGGTTCAATTTTTGTAATGTACCACCGCACACACAGTGCTCAGTCAAAGTGAATCTTTCAATGAAACGTCAAGTGTACAGTAAGTGGATAGAAGGGGCTTACAGCTAAAGTGAGCAATGTTTCTGTTCACTAGTCCTCTTCAGCAGTGGAAGACTAATACGTCATTTCGCTCAGATAAGAAAAAAAACAAAACAACAAGACAATATGCTGAAAAAAATCCCAACTCTATATGCACGCTAAAACATATCTTTTGTGTTATGTACACTACAGTATCAGCGATGCAGCACAGCTGTCCCCATGTACAGGACTGACTGGGACAGCAGCTGATTGTGTTTTAGTGTTTGCCTGGTTCTTCCTGTGGTGCTGTGTGTTGTGCAGAAAAAAGAAAAAGAAAGTCACTGCTGGGAGGCACAGTGGAAGAGATCAATGCTACACATTCCTGCCACCTGAGATTCAAGTGTTTTTGTAATACTGCACAGCTCAATCGATACTTCAGCAAGGAACCAAGAGGCAGGAACCTGGTCAGTGTACATGCTTTGAGCTGAGAAGATTCACACACACACACACACACACACACACACACATATAAAACATCCAGTCTGCGGGATGTTTCTGAAATCCTCACATCACCAAGATTTTATTTACCTTTGCAATTTTTTTGTAATACATCAGTTTGTCTTGCAGCATAATAATAATTTCTAGTTAAATATGCTAAAATCGTTTTAACAGAATAACTACTATTAATTATAATTCACATTTCATATATAAACTTTGAAAAATCATTTGAAAACGCTCATACAAAGTATTTGTCCTGATTAGGCAGGAATGTGGATCCGTTTTGTTTTCCTTTGCTGTTTTTGAAGGAATCTCTGAGGAAGCCGACGCGCTGCACAAACACAGCTCAGGGGAACAGATGTGACTGTTAAAAAGAAAACAGGCACTGTGGGCAAGGATCATTTAGCATCGACGTCTTGAAATCTAAAACGTAAATATTGGGGGCATTTATTCCAAGCTTTGTGGAGTGAAAGAGATGGGGAAAGAACGCCGAGGATGCTGGACAAAAATGAGCAGATCCCGGACTGCAGGATGTGCAGCGATGTGTTAAATTAAATGCAGCTGTTGAAATACAAAAGAGGGAACACTTTTAATTTGAAATAAAAGAAAAGCTTTTAAACCCATCTAAGGCTGTTGAGATCTTTATTCAGAAAACTGACTTTAGTTTTACAGACTAAAAGTGTTAAAATTGAGAGAAAATAGTCAGATTATATTACCATATTCTGAATTATGCTCTTATTTAAGTGTATAAATAAACAATTGGAGGAATATTTTATTTTTTCTTATACAGTTTAACACAATGCAAATTATATTAATAAACCTGCAGTCATCCTAAAGATCAGAAAAGCTCATGGTTACTGCACCACCACCACCCCCCCGCCCCCCCCCAAAAAAAATTTAACTCAAAAACTTTTTAAAACCGGCTTAACCTAAAAAATGTGTAAAATACAGCTGTAGGGAATAAAAGCACACAAAACACACACAGTTTATTTTTGAAAACTGATGTATTTGATTATTAGAGTAAAGAATTACAGTATCTTAGTTGTTAGTAGGTATTAAAGTGTAGAGAAACTGGACCCATAAAGATCTTCCAACTTTCCAGGAAAGTGCATGTAACAGTCCGAAGGTTGTCAAACCCAATATATATATTTATATTTATAAAAACACTATCAGTTTGTCCCCCTGGCATTGTTGGACGTCTGGTGTGGTCAGTTATTATGTACATTTACTTGCAAGGGAGTTTGTATTTCCACATTTGAATGTACTTACAGAAGCTTCAACACATAACTTTGCACTGGGTGTCAGTGAGGATGCTGGGACGTAGCAGCAGCAATGTGGAAATCCAGCTGAGAAACTAAAAGAGAATCCTTCTTAAGCGACCGGCTGTCATTGACGTGAAAACACAACTGTAGACTAAATCAGCCTGAATGCTCCCCTCTATATATGTATATATATGTGTGTATGTATATATA